ATGACTCTTTGATTTCTTTTTTTTTTTTTTTTTTTTCTTTTTTTTTTGTATTGTTGTCTAAACTTTTATTTTTTTTTTCTCAGAGCCGTTCAAATGGGCCTAAAAAAAAAAAATAAGAAGAAAAAGTGTTGATTAGAACAAAATAATTCTTGTTATAATCCAATTTGCTCATAAAATGCTTTTGCTGCTTTGAAACTGCCCAAGCAGAAGATCGAACCTCAACAGTTTTCTTGCCCTCTGAAACTTCCCAAGCAGAAGATAAACCTCAACAGTTTCTTTCTTTAGTCATGACATTTTTGGGCCTACAGAAACAAAAATCAAAATGAATTGAAAGTCTTCAATATGGAATTTTTCATAGAAAGGAAATATGAGCAGGGCCAGTTGTCCAAAGAATTAAGGCCTAGTTAAAGAGATAACTATAAAAGTAAAACAACGATTCTAAAGGCTTCTCAAAGTCATCATAAAAAGGAACACAACTCACCAGAAGAACAAGTTCAATTATTATGCTTCCAAGGGTTGGCATTCTTGGTTAAAAATCTCCTGGAAACATTAAGTGAGGTGGCATGTTAGTACACTAAAATTGGAGCCAACTAAATAAAATTTTATGGATGACGTGCAGTTCCAAAAAAATTCAGATGAAAGTAAAACTAACAAGAGTGCAGGATTTTTCTAACCAGGATAGGTAAATGACATATAGTAGTAGAAAGTAGAATAAAAACCAAAAAGAGAAAGAAAACAAACATGTATGACATAGAAAAATCAGGGAAACCATTCTCTCAAGCACTAAACTTGCAAAGGTGCTATCACAAACAAGGATATATTTGATATAAAAACAAGCTTCAATGGAGGATCAAGGGCTTAACATTATGAGGACATGGCGAACAAAGCATTGACATATGTTTTCTTTTTAAGGATTTGGATCTCCCGAATAAGGCTTTTTATCGTATTTATAGGTCCGCATACCCAAGATACCTTCTATAATTTCAACTATTATCAGGAGTTTATTTGTTGATTATGGTGATGTTCCTATGAAACCACAATGGTTACTTGAACAGAATAATTTGAATACAAAACATGAGCAACATAGATAAGACAGAAGGAAAAAAAAAATACTCTCACATGAATAACAAAATTTCTTTTAAGATAAAAAGTAAAAAGGCAGGCAGTTCCTTTTACAGTTTTGAATTCTTCATGATAACTATTTAATTGTTTAATGTAGCCAGAAGATGATACAAAATATCAAACAAAGAAATTTTGTTTAACTAAAGGAACCAGCATAATGTTTAGTTGTTTCATGGTAAATATTGGAATCTTCTCTGTAATAAAGGCATATCAATATCATATGAAACTCATGTTCTATAGATCCATTAACAACTATCTGTATCCCCTAGATAAATTTAATCAATACTCAAAAAATCAACAAACAATTAAACAAAGTTAGGAGTTGATTGCACCTTCATAGATTTATACATAGAAAGGTAAGGTACTGCACTAAAAAGAACTAAAGAATATCAGAGATGCATTACAAACTTAAGATTTCAAACTGAACTCAACTTCGAGAAGCAAAAACAGTTAGAAGAAACATACATCATTTCGAACAAGAATTGTTGGCTTGAATTCTCTTGTGCCGTTGTTAACACCCTCTTTACATTTGATAGAAAGCTGACCAGTGCCTTTATCTTTCCATACATCATTATCTGCTAGATCACTTGACTGATATATTAACCACAGAAGTTGTCCCATTTCCAACTTCTCGGTCTTGAAGCTCAGCCAAATAGATGCTTTATTCTCCCACCTTTGCAGCAGGATGCTCAACATCTAACATCTTGAATATTATAGCACCATCATTAGTAATTGTTACGTCACCAATATCATCAACCAGCATCTGAAACACAAGATCAACAGATGAAGTGTCAAGCTTCATATATTTCATTTCATCAATTTGACCAAAAAAATAAAAAAAACCTGAAAAATGTTACATTAATAACAAATTAATGGTCATGTGATGCCTAAAATTTCCATATTAACGCAAGGGAATATACTCTTTACCAAAATACCAAGTTACCTGCTAGTGAGATGGATAATAAAGCAAAAATGTTAAAAGATGCATACTAGGCGATTAAATTATCCCATTACCATTATGGTGTAATCTTAATCAATTGCACAAAAGATCTACCTTTTCACTAAATTGACCCAGGGAAAAAAATGTTTTAAGACTTTCAAAAACTCATTACCAATACTGGTAAGCTTAAAATATTGAAATTGCTGATCTAACAATAAAAGTTGAACTGAAATTAAAATTTTAAGAAGGAGATGGAGAGACTGAGAGAGTAACTCCACAAACTGTTAGAAACTACAAATCCAAATTAGAAATAAAGAAAGAAAGAAAGAACATTCAAGCATATAGCACATAACCAGTCCTTACCCTTTCCAAATTTAAATTGGAGTTAAAAATTTTCAAAACCCTCTCCACTTCTTTACTAAAACTAGGATGAAAATGAGTTTTACTCAAATCAAGAAAGACTCTCATATGTTCACTCAAAATTCCTACATGAAAATGAGTTCTACTCATTCTTTTACTCAAATCAAGAGTCATAATTTTACTCAAAATTTTGAATGCCACTTTCAAATTTATTACTATGCTATTAAAAAAGTTTTTTACTTAAATTTGAATTAAAATTTCAACAAAGGCGGGTGATGGGAAACCTAAAAATAAAACTAGAAATGAAAAGCAATTATGAATCCAATTTTCTAGAGAATCAGTTGCCTCCTCTTGAATTTCACACAAAATATTAAGCCAAATGAAGATCAAATTCCAGAATTAACACCTATTTTCCCAATGATTCCTCCCTAGATCATTATAATAACAACCTAGAATGATATACTTGTAGAGAGAGAGAGAGAGAGAGAGAGAGAGTGAGAGGTGGACTGATAATTTTCTACAGAAACATCTGTCTCCACTCAAATTTTGCAAACTATTAAGCTAAATAAAACTCAAATTCCAGAAATAACACTTGACTTCTCAATGATTCCTTGCAAGATCATGTTAAGTAGAGATAAAGAGAGAGGTAGACTGATAATTTCCTAGAGAAACTGCAGTTTCCACTCTAATTTCACACATAATTAAGCTAAACAAAGCTCAAATTCCATAAATAATACCCATCTTCCCAATGATTCCTCGCTAGTGTTAACAACAACCTAGAATACTATACATGTAGAGAGATTAGAGAAAGTCGGCTGATAATTTTCTAGAAAATTCTACTATACACACCCTTTAAAGTGGTATACCACCTAGTTATGCTATTTACTTTTTTTGTTATGATTATTTTTTATTTTTTTTAAGTTATGACAATATTTTAACTATAATTTATGAGATTTTAGCTACGGTTTATGTGCTGTTTAATTATGATATATTTTTAGTTATAACGTAAAAAGTATGGTGTTATACTATTTTTTTCTTTTTTCTACACAGTTTCCCTAATTTTCTGGAGAAACAGCAGTCGCCGTACGGATTTTGCATCTAATTAAGCTAAATCAAACTCAAATTCTAGAATTACACCTATGTTCCCAATGATTCCTCCCTAGATCATGTCAACAACCATATATATGTAGAGAGAGAGAGAGTATAGAGAGAGAGAGAGAGAGGTGGACTGATATTATTTTAGAGAAACAGCAGTCTGCACTCAAATTTCACACATAATTAAGCTAAACAAAACTCAAATTCCAAAATAACACCTACCTACCCAATCATTCCTCTCTAGATCATGTCAAAACAACCTATAACGATTCTGAATTTGAAGAGCCTGAATACAAGGGAGAGAGAGAGAGAGAGAGAGAAGCTACGCACCTTCGCTGGTTGATTTTGAGATCTACAACAAAGGTTCAAGTGAAAGAATTAGCATAATAATCACAAGGAGAAAAGTAACTTTTTCCTTAACTAGTAGAAGAAAAATGAAGAATGATGAAGTTTGGGAATATTAAGTTTATGGTACCCTTTTCTTCTTGTCTCAAAACAATGATCAATTTCAATCGGTTTATAAAGTGAAGATAGCTATAGAATATCGTATTTAAGAACCTTAATCATAAGGGGACAAATAGGCAAATGACCCTGAAGTATGAGCATTATACAAGAAAATGAATGTCTAGTACTTACTTCTTTTGATAGTTTCTCGATCTCAGACATATAAAAATCAATTGTGTCTGCGCTCTTCCCCGAAAGGCCAAGAAAACCAGTCTGCTTAATGAAAAACATTTTCCTGACAAGATGTTAGTATTCGTAATTAATGGTGAGATATAGCATGATGTAATTTCCATCTAAATTTGGCATATTAACACCAGTTTCAAAATAATCAAATTTTCATAGTCATGATGCAAGAAAGATTCATACTGGTTTGGTCCACAAATTAGCTTGCTTTACATTTTTGGTCCAGCTAACTAAACAAAGATTCATACTAATTTGGTCTACAAATTTAGTCCTCCATTGGTGGGAATCAATAATCCATTATTGAATGATTAAGACACCACTTAAATGCAAGTGTTATGTCCATAACAATCATTTTCCCTTAACAACAAACTTAAATGCAAGTGTTATGTCCTATCCTATCATTTTCATATTGCCCTACCACATTGATTTAGTATCTTATTGGAAATTTATTCAACTACTGTCACGCCCCACTTTTTGTTACTCGAAGTCATTACCAAATTCATTAACTTAATTCAATTGCAAGGATAACATGCGGAGATAAACTCATACATCCAATCTGTAGAAGTGATTAACAATACTCTCATTCGTATGCAAAGTGAATATTACATGAACATTCTTAATAAATTGCCCTTGGGCTTACATCACTTAAGGTACAAGAGAAAAGGTGTAACCCTTTTACAACAATGGCATTCCGCCAACAACAAAGAGGCCCCGTGGCCAACAAATAAGAAGGTCCAAATCTTGCAGCTCAACCTGCTTAATACCTGAAAAAGATTCAACAACATAGGATGAACATATAGTCCAGTAGGGATTTCAACATGGCCCTCAACAATAACAACATACAAATAGCTATGATCATGAATTCTCAATCTCATACTAGAATAGTAATGTGACAGTTTATACAAAATATACATAAGTGTGAACTTTTCTTGAAAACAACCATTTCAATCAACGCCATAGGCGATTCAATTTTCTTTTCTTTTCATTAATCCCCGTTCCCAATCTTTCATAACATTAACAATTACTTGAGAAGTAATTTCACTAAGTCCTCTACTCTTTTCCATTTCTCAAACATACACAGATATGTCTTTTCAAAATATATATATTTCTTTTTAAAAAAAATATATCCGTTTTCCTTCCCACTTTCCAAAAGACAAATATGACATTTTGACTTCTTCCCGATACAATCAAACCTATACATGCATTGTTATAAAAGAGATAATAACTCACCAACAGGCATAAGATAAACCAATGAGGCAACTCGGCCCTTCAAAATTGTAATCAACACAATCCATGATATTCCCAAACACACTGAAATATCAACAACAAAACTTTGCTCTACTAGCTATGTGCGTAGTAAGCCAAAGATACACCTCTCACAACAACATACCAATTTACCAGGCGCTAGCTGGAAGGGTGTGGTACCTTAGATTCTCAGCGCATTCAGTTCTCCAGGCGCTAGCTGGAAGGTAACGGTACCTCTGATTATCAGCGCAGGGTATAACACCAACAATCACAATACAACAAGGCATAACCAACATGTGTAAAACATACATATAGATTATCCGGATACCAACAATGTGTTAAGGTATATGAACACATAGGTGTGTGGTGTCCATCCCCTATTTTCTCACACACACTGGAGTACAACCCCTCTCTCCTCCCTAACAAGTACACATATATAATGCATCTCAACATTTCATCACATAAGATGTTCAATCAACAATGGTGTAATGTATACACGACAATTTAACGCAATCGTGTCATCCTCCACCGATGACCAAGGACAAAACCTCTAGATGCAAATATTTAGTACATCGATAAAGTTATTACTTATGAGACCACAAACCCGACACAATCCCAAGCATGGTAGCTACAATTATTTTCCCCAAATAAGTGCACTCGACATGCATAACACAACCAACCCAATTCCATATTTGTTTTCTCAGCAGAGTTAGAAGTTGCCGGTTCTTTACTTCATCATATCATGATTTTCCAAATCAACATTTCCACCACTGTATATTCAAAGGAAAAACACTTTGTTTTTTTTTTTTTTTTTTTCATTTTTTTCTTTTTTTTTTCCCTAAATCAAATTCCATTCTCTTTCATCAACCATTCAAACTTAATTATGCAAGTTAAGCATACTCAAAGTAGGGTTTTTTCTCCCTCTCTTCAAACTACAAATCACATCTCATCATAAAAACTAAACGTAGCCATACATAAATCTTCCCAAAGAACAAAATCCTTCTTAATTTTCACAATTAATATTAGGTCTTTCTAGTTCAATACCAACTAACATGCATTATTTTCGCGCCACAAATAGTCCAATGAACAACCAAGACAATAAACTCATTCTCAATCAACAACTGCTTAAAGGAGCGTCCCGATGATGTTGTCAAACGAACTAATTTTATATGGCGCATTTCATATATATATTCATACCACATGTTTCGGATCATATTATTTATTAGTATTTTTTCTTAGTATTGATATAGAGAACATATTAAATTCATTTCCCAAGGCACCCTATAAAGATAGAGGTATATCATCTATAGTACATGATCGCCTCTTTAATTCCATATGATTATCAACATCTTATATCTATTTCAGTCAATCTAAGTTGTGAGCGTTCGTTTTGTATATATGTTTTTGAAAATGTAGAGATATATATATATATAATATATATATATATATATATATACAGGAAACAAGTAATATACTATAGGATGGTTTTTTCTATGTATTGAGTTAGAAACTTCGCCGTATCGAATGTTCTGGTATATCCAGTGTTGGCTTGGAAGATTTGGATAAGAGCCACACCCCGCTTCGATATATCGCCTTCACAAGATCCGCCCCGGTTTTCTAGAACAATTTGCTGAGAGAAGGAAATTCACGCATCGAGCGTCCGAGAACTTGCCGCCTACAATGGCATACAACAAATTCCCATTCGCTGTCAAATCGGACCGCTCAAGTGTATATTATTATTATAATATCCAACTTAATTCCCAACTTGCCCAGCACAGCCCAAAACTCTACACAAAGAGCTTATATATTAGAAACTGGAGCGTATAGTACCACAACGAGATCTACGGTATTAATCACTGAGTAACCGTGAGTGCTGATTACAGTTAAACAACAACAGGAAATACCGGGATTCGCTATAATGCCATACGCCCCATCCTTAATTAAAATGTTAGAATTTTCTTCATGTACACTAATGCGCGCAAATTTGCATATTGTAAGAACACGCCAAAAAGCACTATATCAATGGGCGATTACATAGTTATCACACTTGACAACGCAACACGGCGTTACAGAGGTTACAAACAATCGTGGAATACCTCTCTTTTCCCTAATTTGCTCTCTTTGTTTACAGCAAAAATGGTGATGCTTCACTCAGAGAAAATAAGCGACTCCATTTCTTCGGC